GCCCTTTGTTTTTTTTTTTTTTTTTTTTTTTTTTTTGTTTTTTTTTGGTGGTACCAGTGATTGAATGCAGGTCCTTGGGCTTTCAAGGCAGGGTGCGGAACCACTGAGCTCAATCCCCGGCCCAAGAGTAACTGCATCTTAAGAGAGCTAGCAACCAGGCTAGCCCTGAAATGTTGTTATTTAGAAAGATGAGTAAATTAACTGAAGCAATATTCCCACAATGAAGGAACTGCAGTTTACTGAGGGAGGAGGATCCTCCCCTCCCATGCAGCAACAAAAAGAAAAATCTCAGCATACTCTTATGAGCACTGATCCTGCTCCTGGACAGAGATAGATCCTGGGTAGATTGGAGGTCTGATTACAGCTATGTGAACAGTGGCAGTGATGATAAGTCCCACCTTGTCTTTCCAGATTCAGACAAGAGTAAGCCACCTTGGAAGCTTCTCTATCTGCCTTGCCTCAGTAGAACAAGCAAGAGACAGACTTGGGAAGAATTTGGGCAAAGGCAATCTTGAAATCACTTCCCTCTGGCTAGGCTCTTAGTATCCCCACATTGTTTGTAACTTCAAAACGTAACCACTACCACACTCCAGAGTTACTCAGTCTAATATCTAGGATGCAGGAAAAACATGACTTTGAAACAGTAGATCTAAAATCTCAAGATCGTGAGAAGTGCTCCAGCCCCTGGATCCCAGGTGACAGAAGCCTGTATGAAAGAGCAGCAGTGTGGACATAGTGGCAGTCAACAAGCTCTGACACATGGAATTGTTTTGTAAGAGGGCATCTGAGTCTGAGGCACTGATAGGACCAGTGAGATGCTGGGCACTCACCGCTCTTATATAAACACAGTCTGTGCACCGACTCCCCTTCAATATGCTCAGAGGCATCTGGAGTAAACATAGCAGCATGCAGACACACTGGCCAACCATGGCTTAAAAGTAGGGTCTGGAAATGTACAGAGCTTTGCTCCATGCTCCAGACCTCCCCACAATCTACACAAGTGACAGATTCAGCAGACAGTTCAGTTTTCTGGCCTCCTCATTCCCAGGTATGGGAGAGATTAAGTACCTATATGGGAGTTAGTCCCACCATTTTGAGACCTACTCAAGAATGATATTAACCTACAACCCCAAAGGGGTGGAGCTCAGCCTCCTGCATGCTCTAAATGGCCTCTACTACCTAGACAGGGTAGAGGAGAACTCTGGACTACAATATAAAAATTTTTCACTCAGACACACACAAACACTTTTAATAGGCAGCATCAAAAAATGACTCCAGTGTACACACAAAATTTGTTTGTTTTTTTCTTTGTAGGTGACTGTAGAGAACATGCATGAATGCAAATGTTTATAAGTGCTAGTCACTGCTCTTTCTTTCTTGTGCCTTACCATGTTACACCATGTGCTACACCAAGGTTAGTTCCAAGAGTTAGCTAAATTTCTGTTTCTGCTAGTTCATTAATTGGATTAAATCTCCATATGCATGGGTAGGGGTCTATAGGCCGGGAAAAGTAGAATAAGGGTCTCATGAAGCTTTATTAAATAAATAACTGGAACCTTACTAGAGGAATTCCTCCAGAAGCAGTTAAAATAGTCTTCCTTTCTTAAACTCCATCCCTCTAATTCATTATTGGAACTGAATTTTTTATCCCAGGCAGCTTCTTACCTCAAGGTGATATCTATGTCTTCTCACTTTCTATTTCTATTCCCTCCCTGTGTCTTTCTCTCTCTATCCTTTCCTTCTTTCCCATACCCTGACAAATATC